GTTGTCAGGTAGCCATGATACCAGAGCCTGTCTGTATAATGTCTTGTGACGTCCACGGCCTACCCCAGTTACCACGACTGTGCATGTGTGTCAAGGACAGAAAGGTAGATGTGGCAGTGGAAGGTGTCAAAGCAGTTTGGAGAGAAAAACAAAGTAAAGAACAAAAAAAACGATTAATCAATTATTAAATTAGTCATCGATCATTTTAATAATCCATTAGTCGTCGATTAATCGACTAATCGTGGCAGCCCTACCTACGACCTTCAGTGAGGATCTCATCCAGTTTGTGATTCTACTCCAAAAGCATCTGAGTGTTGACAGCTCAACATATTCCATCACACGGGCCGGGCAGCCTCAACACGGCCCAAATAGCTACCGACACTTTCTGAATTTCACGATAGGTCAGGCATCCACCAGCTCTAATGAGCAGAAATCCTGTTATCAATAATCCAAATATGTAAACATCTTCCAAATCCTCGACCGACAGAACAGACGGCACATTATCTTCCACTCTCCCCAGGAATCCACAGCACGTCCAGCAGCAAATGTCCCATCAGGACAAGAGGGCAGTCCTTTACCCAGTAAGATGGAGAAAATTTGATCAACAGTGTTGAGACCAGCTGACCAGATCCATCATTTTAATTTTGAAAGATATGCAAGAGAGGCTCCAAAATAATCAGCAAGTAGGATAAATTAGGGAAGGTTTAAGAGAAAGAGGAAACGTGTCCACCCTCGCTGAGAGCAGAAAAAAAAGTAAAACTGTAACTAAAACCTAAAAATACTAGACCAGGAGCTAAAAGTTAAAACTAGCAGAACAGTAGCTAAAAGATAGGACCAGCAAAACATTAGCTAAAAGCTTAAAGTAGTAAAACAATATACTAAGACTAGCATAACAGTGACTAAAAGCTAAAACAAGCATAACAGTATCTGTAAGCTAAAAAAGTACAACAGTAGCAAAGTTAAAATTAGCAGAACAATAGCATAAAGCTAAGACTAGCTAACAGTCTCTGTAAGCTAAGAAAAATAAAACAAAAACAAAAAGTTAGATACAACAGAACAGGAGCTAAAAGCCAGGACCACCAATATAACAGCTTAAAGCTAAATCTAGTAAAACAATAAGGTTCCGTTCGAAGAACAATACCTATAAAAGCTAAAGGTAGTAAAACAAGTGTACTGAAATACAGCACAAAGTTTGTCCTTTTATTTAATCATAAATTTAAATAAAGTTAATTAAAAACACCTTTCCCTGGGCTGCCACCTTATCATGGTGGAGAGGTCTGAGTGTCCCAGTGATCATGGGAGCTATGTTGTCAGGGGCTTCATGCCTCTGGTAGGGTCACCCAAGGCAAACAGGTCCTAGGTGAGGAATCAGACAAAGTGCAGCTCAAAGACCCCTATGATGGAAACAACCGTTGGATCTAGTGTTCCCTCGCCCAATCGCGGGTCACCGGGGCCCCACTCTGGAGCCAGGCCTGGAGGTGTGGCACGTTAGCAAGCGCTCATGGAGCCCGGTCGGGCACAGCCCAAAGAGGAGACGTGGGTCCCCCTTCCCATGGGCTCACCACCTGTGGGAGGGACCGTAGGGGTCGGGTACATTGTGTAATGGGCAATGGTCAAGGACCCTGGCGGTCTGATCCTCGGCTACAGAAGCTGGCTCTAGGGACGTGGAATGTCACCTCTCTGGTGGGGAAGGAGCCTGAGCTGGTGTGTGAGGTTGACAGGTTCTGACTAGATATAGTCAGACTCACCTCGACGCACCGCTCTGGCTCTGGAACCAGTCTCCTCCAGAGGGGTTGGACACTCTTCCACTCTGGAGTTGCCCATGGTGAGAGGTGCCGAGCAGGAATGGGCATACTTATTGCCCCCCATCTTGGTGCCTGTACGTTGGGGTTCACCCCGGTGAACGAGAGGGTAGCCTCCCTCCGCCTACGTGTGGAGATGGAGGGATGGGTTCTGACTGTTGTTTGTACCTATGAGCCTAACAGCAGTTCAGATTACCCATTACAATGATTGACTTTGTTGTCGTTTCATCTGACTGGGCCGCATGTCTTGGACACTCGGGTGAAGAGCGGGGCAGAGCTGTGAACTGACCACTACCTGGTGGTGAATTGGCTCAGATGGTGGGGGAGGATGCCGGTCAGACCTGGCAGACCCAAACGTATAATGAGGGTCTGCTGGGAACGTCTGGCAGAGTCTCCCGTCAGACGGCGCTTCAACTCAACTTTGAACATGTTCCGGGGGAGGTGGGGGACATTGAGTCCGAGTGGGCCATGTTCTGTGCCTCCATTGTTGAGGCAGATTACCTGAGCTGTGGCCGTAAGGTTGGTGTTGCCTGTTGTGGCGGCAACCCTCGAACCCGCTGGTGGACGGTGAGGGATGCCGTCAGGCTGAAGAAGGAGTCCTATCAGGTCTTTTTGGCCTGTGGGACTCCGGAAGCAGCCGATAGGTATCGGCAGTCCAAGCAGATTGAGGCTCAGGTGGTCGCTGAGGCAAAAACTCGAGCATAGGAGGAGTTCAGAGAGACCATGGAAAAACAATTCTGTAAGGCTTCGAGGCGATTCTGGTCCACCATCCGGCACCTCACGGGGGGAACGTGGTTTGCCACCAACACTGTTTATTTTGGGGATGTTGCACTGCTGACCTCAAGTTGGGACGTTGTAGGTCAGTGGGCAGAATACTTCAAAGATCTCCTCTATCCCACCGACATATCTTCCCATGAGGAAGGAGAGCCTGGGGACCCTGGGTCGGACTCTCCAATCTCTGGTGCTGAGGTCACTGAGGTGGTTAAAAAGCTTCTCAGTGGCAAGGCACCAGGGGTGGATGAAATTTGTCTGGAGTTCCTTAAGGCTCTGGATGTTGTGGGGCTGCTTTGGTTGGCGTGACTCTATAATATTGCGTGGACATCGGGGGCAGTTCTCCTGGATTGGCAGACCGGGGTGGTGGTCCCCTTATTTATAAAGGGGGACTGAAGAGTGTGTTCCTACTATAGAGGGATCACATTTCTAAACCTCGTTGGTAAGGTCTATTCAGGGGTTCTGGAGAGGAGGGTCCGTAGTCAAACCCCAGATTCAGGAAGAGCAGTGTGGTTTTGGTCCTGTTCGTGGAACACTGGACCAGCTCTACACACTCAGCAGGGTCCTGGAGGGTGCACGGAAATTCGCCCAACGAGTCTACACGTGTTTTGTCGACTTGGAGAAGGCGTTTGACCGTGTCTCTCAGGGAGCCCTGTGGGGGGTACTCCGGGAGTATGGGGTACCGGGCACGTTGATACGGGCTGTTAGGTCCCTGTACGACCGGGCACTGTACTGGTCTGTCGTGGTGAAGCGAGAGCTGAGCTAAAAGGCTAAGCTCTCCATTTACCTGTCGATCTACGTTCCAACCCTCATCTATGGTCACGAGCTTTGGGTAGTGACCTAAAGAACAAGAAGAACAAGCAGCCGAAATGAGTTTCCTCTGCAGGGTGTCTGGGCTCTCCCTTAGAGATGGGGTAAGAAGTTCGGTCATCCGGGAGGGACTCAGAGTAGAGCCGCTGCTCCTCCACGTCGAGGAGCCAGTGGAGGTGGTTCATCTGGTTAGGATGCCTCCTGGACGCCTCACTGGTGAGGTGTTCCAGGCATGTCCCACTGGGAGGAGGCCCAGAGGAAGACTCAGGACACACTGGAGGAACTATGTTCCCTGGCTGGCCTGGGAACACCTTGGGATTCCCCAAGAGGAGCTGGCCCAAGTGGCTGGGGAGAGGGAAGTCGGGGTCTCTCTGCTTAGGCTGCTGTCCCCGAGACCCGAACCCAGACAAGTGGGAGAAAACGGACAGATGGACAAATTCAAAATGTATTAGAGTTTGAAAACTCAAAGGTTGAAGCTGTTGTGTCCTAAACGAGCTGAAGGTTTTGATACATTAATAGACAAAACAGCTGAAAATGTGCTTTACTGTGTTCAGCTGGTTTTACACCTGATGTCCAGCGGGGAGGGGCCTACTCAGACAGGTGTGTTGACCCCACTGCCCTGCCCACACACGCTGCCCCCGCTGCTGGATGAGGTTGGAGTGAGACCGGTGCCGTACCGCTTGCTAGAGGACCGAGGCTGGGCCTTAGACCTAGACCAGCTCCACGGAGCGCTGAAGACTGCCAGGGGTGTCTGTGAGCCCAGAGCCATTTACATCAGCAACCCAGGAAACCCCACAGGTACACAACACAAGTACACACCACAGGTACACAACACGTACAGACCACAGGTGCAAAACAGGATCACTGTGTTGTTGCTTTCTTGTCTTTTGTCTTTGTACCGAATCTGTCCCGTTGTCTCTGTTAGGACACATTCAGAGCATCTTTGTACTGAACCTGTCCTGTTGTCTCTGTGAGGACATGTTCAGGACAGCGTCTTTGTACCGAAGCTGTCGTGTTGTTTCTGTTAGGACATGTTCAGTCCAGTGTCTTTGTACCGAAGCTGTCATATTGTCTCCGTGAGGACATGTTCAGAGCATCTTTGTACTGAACCTGTCCTGTTGTCTATGTGAGGACATGTTCAGAGCATCTTTGTACTGAACCTGTCCTGTTGTCTATGTGAGGACATGTTCAGAGCATCTTTGTACTGAAGCTGTCATGTTGTCCCTGCGAGGACATGTTCAGAGCATCTTTGTACTGAAGCTGTCCTGTTGTCCCTGTTAGGACACGTTCAGGACAGGAAGACGATCCAGGAAGTAATCCGGCTGGCCTCAGCAGAAGGCCTAGTTCTGCTGGTGGACGAGGTAAGGACGAGCTGAACGCTCACTCCTCTCTTCCCGTCAGCGTCTCAAACGTCCTCCCCCGTGTCCAGGTGTTCCAGGACAGCGTGTTTGGACCGGACCAGACCTTTGTCTCTTATAAGGAGGTTCTGTACCAGATGGGCGAGCCGTACTCGGACACGGTGGAGCTGGTATCGATCCACTCCATATCCACGGCCAGAATGGGAGAGTGAGGAACTTTAGCTGCTTTTGGCTTGAACTGCGGCTCCTAACAGCCGATACATTATAATTTAAGGAAACAAACTGTCCAACATTTGAGCTTCTTTAAATGAGGACAAATAGAAATCATTTTTTTGTGTTTAGATGTGGTCTGAGAGGAGGCTACATGGAGGTCATCAACATGGATCCAGGTGTTGTGCAGTTTTTAAGAAGCATGCAGGCTCCTTCAAGCCCTCCAGTTTTACCACAGCTTGCTCTGGAGCTCATGCTCAACCCACCTGCACCTGGAGATCCTTCTCATAAAAAGTACACACAGGTACCAAGACAAACAAAAAATACTCAAAACAGTAAACGATGGCTCAGCGTTAAAAATAAATCCTGACGAATGCAAAGAGTCCAGATTCTTCCTATCCATGCGTTTCTTTCTTTTTTTTTATTATTTTATTTTGTTTCTACTGTTTTTCATTTCCTCTCTTAAGGAGATTCTTCAAAGACATGAAACTCTTACCCAGAATGCACGGCGAGCGTGCGAGTTTCTGAATGGCTTACCGGGAGTGAGCTGCCAGCCGGCGGTGGCCGGACTCTTCCTGTATCCTCGTCTGAGTTTACCGGCTCAGATCGTGGAGGAGGCTGAGGTCTGTGTGGGAAAACAAACATTTTTTTTATTCTTCATGTGTCAAAGGCTATGGGATAAATCTTGTGCCAGCAGGAACTGAATTTTAATTGCTCAGATTGAATCTGTGTGCATAATTTGAAAAATCGGTTTGAAAATTGGTTTGAAAATTAATTTCACTAAAGTGAAACTGAATGTAAAGTTCTGAATTTGAATTAATTTGCTTTGAAACTGTATTTTGGTTTATTTAAAATTCAGTTTGACTATAACTTTTAGTTCCTTAATTTAGATTTTTGTGTCACATCCTGGTCCTTGAGAAAGCCAGGCAGAGTAATCAAACACAGATCCACAGATCTATGTTTCACTTCAGGTTTGATTAAAACACAGTGTCTCTTTTGGGGAAAGTAATGGGCCCACTTATGAGGCCTCCGCTCACATGGGTTTCGCCCATCCCCGTAAACCGTATCATACCATATATATA